TATTGTTGATGTATTGTGAGATTGTTAACCATTGTCATAGGGCAACATGTGTAGTAACTGTTAAATGAGAAACTATTTTGTTCTGTAAGCCTTCATTTTAAGTGAGTATAGCAGCACAATTGGAAGAGCGTAGTCAATGTCACTGAACTGTGCATGTAGAAATTTTTGAAATGGTCTATCTTTGGCTATGTGTATTTTCAGCAAAAAAAAGGTTGAGAAGTTAGAGGGTTGACATGTTGTGGGGTTGTTAACCATGTCATAAAACAGTATGTGTACTACTGTTTCATGAGAAACTACTTGTTCTGTAAGTCTTCACCCGAAGTGCAATAAAAATAAAATAAAAAAATAAAAAGGGTGACCTTTGATGTCACATTCTAAATCAGTATTCAGGCTTAGATACTAAATTAGTGAATTTTAAACTGACAGAGATTTTCTCTCTAAGCGTTTTCAGAATTTAAGATAGGCATCCCAAAGAAAATGTATTGTTAGAAATGGCTGTTCTATTAACATTCTACATTCAGTTGGCTTATTGGAAAATAAAAGCATATTTCCTTATTCCCAAGTGTGTTAGTTACCTAGTGCTGCTTCTGTAACAGAAATAGCACAAATGGGTGGCTTTAACAAACAGAAGTTTATTTTCTTACAGTTTAGGAGGCTAGAAGTCTGAATTCAGGGTGCCAGCTCTAGAGGAAAGCTTTCTGTCTCTGTTGACTCTGGAACAGAAATAGCACAAATGGGTGGCTTTAACAAACGGAAGTTTATTTTCTCACAGTTTAGGAGGCTAGAAGTCTGAATTCAGGGTGCCAGCTCTAGAGGAAAGCTTTCTGTCTCTGTTGACTCTGGAGGGAAGGTCCCTCCTTGTCTCTTCTGAGCTTTTGCTCCTGGGCAGTTTTCATGTAGCTTGGCATCTCTCTTCCCCCATCTGTGCCCCCTAGCTTGCTTGTTTAATCTCTTTTATATCTCTAAAGAGATTGACTCAGAGACCCCCTACACTAATCCTGCCTTGTTAACATGACAAGGACAACCGATTCCCAAATCGAACTGTATCCACAGACATAGAGGTTAGGATTTACAACACATATTTTGGGGGGACACAATTCAATCCATAACACCAGCCAAAACAATGAAATTGGCCAGGTTGCCACCATCTTGTCTGCTATATTTTTTTGTGGATAGTGAAGATTGTCTGATGGGTTATTCAACATTGAATTAATTGGCTTTATGAAAATAATATTTCTAATTTATTAGCTGTACAATAAGGTGCCACTAAAATGTTTTCCCTTTGAACCTGTCATTGGTTCATTTCATAAACTTCAGAAATGTATTTAGTACTTAACAGCTATTGCCATCAAATACTATTGCCATTGCTTGGTATTACTTACAAACATTAATTTAAAAGATCTAATTTTTACATTATAATTTTACTGTAAATGATACCAAAATTTTAAACTTGAATATCCAACCCTAGGGGAATGATGAGTCCAATTTGTACCTATGGTGGAAGGAAATCTCATACACTTATAGTACTAGAAGAGAACATACTAACGATGGATGTGTCTGGATGATATGGGTGATTTTTGTTTTATTATTATTATTTTTTTTACATTAGCTGACTTTTCTATAATAGAAATATTAGTGTAATACAGTAATAAGGAAAAAACATAGATGTAACTTTTAGCTTAAAAAAAGTTTGTTTTCATTATTGATGCCCATGTAGCACTAGACGTGTTTCTGATAGCTTTCTGTGAATATTTATAAATAATCAGAGGATTAAAATAGGAAATACAACTCAGAAGCATCATGATTAATAATTTTATTATATGGATAATTAAATAGAAATACATAGATATGAAAAGCATAAATCAATTGATACTTCATGAAATAACAAGTGGAAACTCTAATATACTTTTTTGGTGGAACTATTAAAATATATTAACTTTCAAAAGTTCAGTGTATAGTAATTGGGGATATTTTGCTGGTATTAGTTAAGCTTACAGCCTTCCCCAAAACACTGTCACATGAATGGAACATAATTTTAGGAGTTTAAGAGACAGAATAGATTTTGGGCTCAGAAGACCGACTGACTGTGTCTTAAATAGGCTTTACCACTAACTAACTGCATAACCTTAGAAAGTTGCTTAATCTTTCTGTATGTCAAGGTCCTCATCTGTAAAATGGGAACAATGTAATACCTGCCCAGTAGGATTGTCGTGAGGATTCATTACGAAAATGTGTGTGAAGTACTTACGCAAGGTCTAGCACTTAGTAAGTTTTGGCTGCAGCTAGGCCTCAAACATAGCAATGATTATGAGGATGGAGCAGGACCAGGCAAAGTTTCATCCTGTTATACATAAGGTTGCTATGAGTCAGAGCCAATTTGACAGGACAGTCTTAGTTATCTAGTGCTGCTGTAATGGAAATACCACAAGTAGATGGCTTTAACAGACAAATTTATTCTCTCACGTTTAGGATGCTAGAAGTCTGAATTCAGGGCACCAGCTCACAGTTTGCTCTGGGGGAAGGTCATTGTCATCCATCTTCCCCTAGTCTAGGAACTTCTCAGCACAAGGACCCCAAGTCCAAAGGACATGCTCCGTTCTTGACTCTCCTTTCTTGGTGGTTATGAGATCCCTCTCCTCTCTACTCGAGTCTCTCTTTTATATCTGAAAAGAGATTGACTCAGAATACACCCTAATCCTGTAGATTTAGTCCTGCCTCATTAACATAACTGTCTCTAATCCTGCCTCATTAATGTCATAGAGATTAGGATTTACAACACACAGGATAATCAGATCAGGTCATAAAATGGTGGACTGCCACACGATATTGGAAATTGTGGCCTAGCCAAGTTGACACACGTTTTGAGGGGGACACAGTTCAATCCATAACAAGTACCAGACAACAACAATTTTAATTTTGAGTTATTACAATCATCGCAACACTCTCCGATTCCTAGAACAAATATTAATAAAAAGAAAATTAGAAGAAAACTTTGGAATAGAAGAAGTTAAAACAGCTTTTATAAGGGTATAACATTTTGAAATACAGTTTGGCAAATGTTCGTAGGTATTTGATCTTTGGTAAGCAAATTTTGTTCTTTCTCATTAGTTATTTCATCTGTAACATAAGAGGAAATTATTGGGAGAAGAGGGTAGCTAAAATCACGTATGGAACTTTTAAAAAATAAGTAGAGTAGTATTTACCTTAAGGTGGAAATGAGGGGTTGTAGTTGGTGAGGAGTACCATATGCCAGGTATTATTCTAGGCACTTGAATAGATGAGTAAACAAAATAGGTAGATTTCCCCCTCTTGGAACTTAATTTCTAGTTGGGGGAGAGAGGAGAGACAGACAGTAAAGTATAAACGTTATAAATAAGTAAAATATCTAGAATAGTCGGAAAGCAGCAAAGAGCAGTAAGAACACCTACTCCACCTTAGAGCCGGTGTTGTGAGGTCTGTGTGAGAAAAAGCTACCAGCTCAGAAGACTGCAGAGGAATCATTGTTCTCAGGGGAAGGCTAGATTTCTGTCTGAGCTAGAAAATGAAGGGAATGTTCAGAGAAGAGTTGACTAGTAATTGATTGGTCATGTATTCCAGAAAGAATGGTTTCAGATGTTTGGAGAGCAAGAACAGAACAAAGCAGAGGATGTGTAAAGCTCTACAGGGATTAGAGATGAAGAGTGGCCTGGGGATATGAATGACATAGCAGTGGTAAGGTACACACTGGGATTAGTCCTGGCAAAGCTATGAGTGTTGTGGGCAGGGCAGAGTGGGTTTCTGGGGCTCCCTCTTCTTTGATGATGGGAGTAGAAGGCGTACAGGAGGACCTTGGTTCCATCTTGACTTCCACTGAAGACCGGGCTTATTCTGATGTGTGCATACATTGTCTTGACCTCAGTATTGATCATATTAATATAATATAATATATATATTGGCTGAGAAATGGATATACAGTTGTTATATGTTTCCCGTCTGTATTTTTTGTACTCTTGAAATATCTCATTTCTTCAAATTGCCTGGCTATGAAGAGAGGTAGGGGGTGGGAAGAGTTAGGGCAAATGCTCTTTCTTTAATGATAAGGGCTCCAGATGCTTAGAAAATTGTGGGTAGTTTCAAGAAGCCCTAAAATATGAAGATTTTAATTAACCAGCCTTAGAAGAAGGACCCTGGTGTGGATTAGTTATTTTCAGGTCAGATGTCCACCCCAGTGCCTTCAGCAAGGAGCACTAAATCAGAGCCTAGTCTCTATCAGACACTTGAAATTAGTGGCTTTGCCCCATGCTTTCTGCTACTGCTATTCTAGGGCCTAAGTAGAATGCTGAGATTAAACATTTCTAGGTTTAAAATTAGCATGCATTTTCATGGACGTCTACAGTTTGAGGTAGTGGTGCACCCTGGGCCATTTACCACACAAGAAGGCTCTGTCTCTTGATAAGAGTCAGTTGGTTGTTCACACAGTTTTTTTTTGCTTTTCCCGAGAAAAGCACAGAACTAAGTAAACGCTATGTAGTACTCTACACTAGGAGTCAGAGTGGAACACTCAATAGGCAGCAACAATTTGACCCCACAGTAACTTCCAAGGCCTATCATTGCCGTTTGAGATATGTGCCTTCATTCAAAAACAGCCTTGTGATTGCTTTGCCTTTTTAAAAAATCATTCTCAGTCTGGGCCCTCGTTTTGTTTTTGCTATTTTGTTAAAGTAATGCTTATGGTTAAAAAAAAAGCATAATGATGTGAAGTAGAAAGTAAGTTTTCCTGTCCACATGTCCTTATTTCCACTTGCCAGAGGTAACCACTATTTGTGTTTCCTTCCAGAAATTTTTTATATACGACTCTGCAAATGTCTTTTTACCCCTGTTTAACAAGTGTTAAACTTCTTTTCATGTCAGCATATGTTGCTGTAATTTGTTCTTGTTAATAGCTGCAGAGTATCCCGTTGTATAAATTCACCATAATTTATTGAACTAATCCCTTATTAATGTACATTTAGAATATTTTTACTTTTTTGCTATTGTAATTAATACTGCAGTGAACATCTTTGTCTGTGTTGTTGGGTGTATACACCTTAAAGCTTGATTAATATTGCCAAATTGCTTCTAAAAAGGTCAATCAGTTTTTTATCTCCATAAGCAGGATTTGAAAATATGTTTCCCAACACTGTCTCCAAACTGGGTATTATCAGACTTAATGTTTTTGCCAGTCTCATCAAATAAAAAATAGCTTTGATTTGCATTTCTTTAATTTGAGGACAGACATACTTTTATAACTCTATTGAAATTTATATTTTCTTTACTGTGAAGGGCCTGTTTATACTCTTTCTGGGTCAACTTTTGAAGGGATTCAGGAGAGTGAGGTTATTTTTGAAATATTTTTTTAAAATTGATTTTGAAATTCCAAGATTCGTCTTTATCTCAGGATAATCTTTTGGTATTTTTTATTTTTGTATGGTGCATTAGAAATGTCAGATCTAGAACATTAGTCAAATGATGGTAGAAATTACCCTTCAGTCATAGATTAGACAGGCCCATAAAACAAACAATAATACATGTAGCTCAACCATGTATTCAAGACTTAATGGGCACACCAGCCCAGGGGCAAGGACAAGAAGGCAGGAGGGGACAGGAAAGCTGGACAAATGGAAATGGAGAACCCAAGGTCGAGAAGGGGAGAATGTTGACACGTTGTGGGGTTGGCAGCCTATGTCACAAAACAATAGGTGTATTAACTGTTTAATGAGAAACTAACTGGCTCTGTAAACCTTCATCTAAAGCACAATTTTAAAAAATGGTGGTAGAAATTAGTTGGTATAGTACAGAGGATTCCTTTCTAAGAATTATAGCAAAGTTCAGAGGTGGGGAATGTGACCTCGATAACAGTTCTGAGATCTGTTATGTTTGGTTCTTCTTGGCCTAAGGCCCATAAAATTGATGTCCATAAAATCTACCCTAGCTTTTCACTGACTGAGCCCAGTTCATCCCCAGAGTGTCAAGGCTTAAGCCCTTGTGTCAAGCTGCTGGTAATAGCTAGCGTCCCTAAGCCTTCCAAAGCTTTTACTCTTTCCTTATGTGTTTACTCTTTTTTCTTAGGACAGTCAGGCTTAGTTCCGTAACACACACACCTACATTTGTTTCTTTTTTTTTTTTAATTGTACTTTAGATGAAGGTTTACAGAGCAAACCAATTTCTCATTGAACAATTAATACACGTATTGCTTTGTGACACTGGTTGCCAACCCCATGACGTGTCACCACTCTCCTCTTCTTATTTTTTTATTGTGCTTTAGGTGAGAGTTTACAGCTCAAGTTAGTTTCTCATACAAACATTTATACATACATTGTTATGTGACCCTAGTAGCTATCCATATATGTGACAGCACAATCTTCCTTTCCACCCCGGATTTCCCATGTCCGTTCAACCAGCTCCTGTCCTTTCTGCTTTCTCATATCGCCTCCAGACAGGAGCTGCCCATTTAGTCTTGTGTATCTACTTGAACTAAGAAGCACACTCTTCACGAGTATCATTTTATGTCTTATAGTCCAGTCTACTCTTTGTCTGAAGAGTTGGCTTCAGGAATGGTTTTAGTTCTGGGTTAACAGAGCCTCCGGGGGCCATGGCTTCTGGAGTCCCTCCAGTCCCAGTCAGACCATTAAGTTCTAGTCTTTTTACTAGAATTTGAGTTCTGCACCCTACTTTTCTCCTGCGCCATCAGGGACTCTGTTGTGTTCTCCATCAGGCAGTCATTGTTGGTAGCCGGGCACCATCTAGTAGTTCTGGTCTCAGGCCAATGGAGTCTCTCGTTTATGTGGCCCCTTTTGTCTCTTGTCTCTCCCCTTCTTGACCTTGGGTTCCCCATTACCAGCTTTCCTGTTCCCTCTTGCCCTCTCGTCCCTGCCCTGGACTGGTGTGGCCATTTAGTCTTGTTTTATGGGCCTGTCTAATTTTTGGAGTGACTTCACTACTGAGCTGCAAGGGTGTCTGGGGTCCATACTCCAGTCTTCGTCAGACAAGCAAACTGGGCACCATCTAGTTGTGCTGGACTCAGTCTGGTGGAGGCTATGGTAGTTGTGGTACATTAGTCCTTTGGACTAATCTTTCCCTTGTGTCTTTGGTTTTCTTCATTCTCCCTTGCTCCAGACTGGGTGAGACCAGTGGAGTATCTTAGATGGATGCTAACATTTCTTCATAAGCTCCTGGCCTTAGTGATTTTCAGTTACATTTGCCTATGCTGTGGTGAGGAGGCCTTGTGGTATAGTGGTTAAGAACTCAGCTGCTAACCAAAAGGTCAGCAATTCGAATCCACCAGCCGCTCCTTGGAAACCCTATGGGGCAGTTATACTCTGTCCTATAGGGTAGCTATGAGTCGGAATCAACTCCGTGGCATGGGGTTTATGCTGTGGTGCAACTGGCAGCTGACCTTATTAGAGAGGAAAGAAAAAAAATACTCACACATTGAATATCTGGCGAGATTCTCCCCTCCTGTATAAGGGCACACTCAACAGCCAGGTTTTCAGTAGGACATCTCTGGGAACTTTAGCCACAGTCATTCATGGACTCTTAATCTAATATTTGATTTTTAATATGACTCTATTGACAACTGACTTACTCTCCTTGGTGACAATTCTCAAGAGACCAAGTGTGATTATCTCATCTCAGGCTATTGATTAGTTCTTTTCAGTTTAGCTGTTCACCCTGGTGCCATCAGCAAGTGGCACAAACAGTAGGTGCTATGGATGAAGGTGGATTCTTTTAGGAGGGCTATGAACAAAGCCAGCAATGGTTAGTCCTTGATGCCGTTAACACAAACAGGAAAGTCAGGAGGGGAAATTGGTTTTCAAGAGAACATGTTGGTACCTTATTGGACATACTAAATTCAAGGTGCTAGCAAGACATTCAAATGGAAATGATAGGGGGTCTTTGTTTCTCATCTAGTTTCATCCTTCCATTGCCAGAGTATGAATAATGGAATTTCTCTTCTTCTAGAAGATAATGTCTCAAAATCCATTTATACATGAGCAACAGAGTTGGAACCTAGAGGACTGAGGCCTCTGAACCTAGTGGACTTTCTGCTGTATCAGTGGGGGATAATGTTAATCTGGCATCACCCAATCAGAAGAATAAAGTGGATTATCCAAATTTCAGATCATTTTGATGAGGCTGATGTAGGCTCTCATAAACTAGCTAGATCTGTGCTCGATACTATGTGTGGCTTATCTGCTTCTCAAGATGGACTACAAAAATACTGCCTTTATGTAAATCAGAGCCCAGCTGGCACACTGGTTAAGAGCTCAAGCTGCTAACCAAAGGGTTGGCAGTTTGAATCCACCATCCACTCCTTGGAAACCCAGTGGGGCTGGTCTACTCTGTCCTCTAGGGTCGCTGTGAGTTGGAATCGACTTGACAGCAACAGGGTTTTTTGTTTTGTTTTGTTTTGTTTATGTAAATCTGTTCCATGGTACAATTTCAGTTCACAGAAGATTCTGCCCCCTTTGCATAAGCTTAAAATAATAGTGAAAGAGATGTATGAAGAATATAGCCAAAGTAGGAGTTCACTCAATAAGTTACATATAAGGCATAGTCTCCAAAAATCTGAGTTATCGATGACTTTGTCCTTGTGAACTTCTGCTTGCAGCTAAAAAGCTTGCCGATTCACTAGGGCCCCAGCCTTTCCTGGCTGAAATCTCACTAGCTACTGCTGGGAGCAGTCTTGGGGTAGAACTCAGAACTAATTTCCCTGAAAAAGTAGTGGTTTGTTACTAGTTGTATTAATTCAGCCGTATTACTGACTTTTATAAGTCAGTTTAAGAATTTAGACATCATTAAGACGTTAGGCACCATTTGTGAAATTACTCCTGTGAGAAAATCTAAGCTTCAGACTTAACTGAAAAATTTTTCAGCACAGCTGAGATATGACTTCTGTGCAATCTAAAAGTGAGTAGGTGGGAATCCAAAGAGTAGCATATATTAACGAAGTGAGGTGATTTTTCTTTTGTAATTCAGGTTTCTTCATAAAATGAAGAATAGGCTAGAATCTAGCCTGCTTATTGGGAAATAGCATGCACAAAGAATAAGTTTTAATGGAAAAGAATCAGCTGAAGGAGTGAGATAAAAGGAGAAAAAGTATTCTGGTACCCATGGATTGCCAAGAAAAGCAGTGCGTTTTCTCTGTACTTAGGTGGGCAGCCGTTTTACTATATAACCTTCAGAGGGTACTCACTGCTTCTGCCTAAATTGATAATTTGGAACATGAGATCATCTTCTATTTTGATTATCCCCATGGATCCCCTTCCATTGACAGACCATTAAATAAATCTTTAATTGTAAAAGTTTGCCACTGAAGACTTATGTTTAAGGTATATGTAACAACTTATGCTATAGTTGGTTTCTCGGCTTACAAATAAAAGCTTTAATTTTTACCCAGACTTTTATTCAGTTAGAAGATTGTACCCACATTTGGCTTACCTAATCCTTCAAAATTGTTAGCATTAAATCCTATAACTGTATTAACAGTTATCATTTACATAAAGTGACTTGAAAAGAGTGTCTTAATGATTATAAATAAATTCAGTGTATAATAGCTAAAATAAATGTATATACAAACCATATCAGTAGTGATTGGTTCTTCAAAGGATATTTATGGCATTGCAAAATAGTTAAAGCTTTGCTTTGGCTCTGAATTGAAAGAGTTGGAATTATAAAGGGGACAATATCTCTGACTTGTGTGAGGATTTTATTTGTTTATTTACCTAAGGCCTAATTTCCGAATTTTTGCTTCTTGACCTTGTAGTTTTTCTAAGATGACTTTGTGTTTGAGCCAGAGCCAATCTGCCATTTGCCCAGGGTTATATAGCCAGTAGTAGCTCTGGTGGTGCAATGGTTAAGCGCTCAGCTGCTAATTGAAAAGTCGATGGGTTGAACCCACCAGCAGCTCTGCAGGAGAAAGACTTGGCCATCTGCTTCCTTAAGGATATACAGCCGTGGAAATCCTATGGGGCAGTTCCATTCTGTCCTTTAGGGTCGCTGTGAATCTGGATCAACTCGACGGTAACAGGTATATGTAGCCAGCAAGTAGCTGAGACAGAATTTGAATCCAGGTATGTCTAATCCAGAGCTTAAGCTCTTATCTTCTACATTATCCTGCCTTTAGATAATACACATGCAATCATTTTATCAACTCATAAATTCCTTTTACTGAAATAAACATACAGTTTCCACGCAAAATGGACTTGGATGGTGACAGTACCATTCTAGGCAGTATACTGTGTGTGTGTGTGTGTGTGTGTGTGTGTGTGTGTACATACATATATATATACATATACACATACAGTCATGTGCTGCATAACATCCATTTGGGCAGCATCTGACCGCATATATGTCTGTGGTCCCATAAGGTTATAATAGAGTTTAGAAATCCCGATCAGAGAGTGGGACGTAGTGGATGCAGCAGCTTCCTTCATGCAACATGTGTGTCTCATGTCTCTTGTGTACAAAGCAACTGCACTGCCAGGTGTATAATTGTACAGTACAAATACAACCTATAATACATATGTCTTGATAGTTGTAATAAACACCTATGTTACTGGCTTAGATACTATACTGTACTTTCTATTATAACTTCAATGTGAACTTTCTGTACTTAAAAATAAAGTTTATCGTATGACATTGTGTGCTTCAGCTTGTATGCAGCAGCATCCTATCTTGTGTATTGTCTGTCTCTTGAGTTTTAGTGTTCTCTCTGTTTAATTTTCTTTTAAAAGTATTACCGTGAAGTGCATCATGGCTCCCAAACTCAGCAAAACCAGTGCTAGTGATAGAAGCAGTATCCCATATGGCTTTGCTAAGTATATAATATGGTGTTCACACAACATCCGAATCACATAACGTCCTATTTCACAGACCGTATTGTGGACGTTAAGTAACGCATAAAATATATAAAATCTCCTTTATTAGCTTACTATATTATGAACATCTTTTCAAATCAAAACATGTTTTTAACTATATTGCAGTAATTTATTCAACACTTATTTATGTTACTAAACCATTTATTCAACACTTATTTATGTTACTAAACCATACCACAGTGAACATCTGTCTCTGCATATCTTCTTAAGAAAACAGAATTTTTAAGTGAAATAGTGGACTTCAAAGGTTTTATGTATAGTTAAGGTTTCTGGCTTTACAGGAAGAGTGTACGGTTTGCACTCCTATTGAAGTATTGAAAATGTCTGATTCCTCATCGCTATCTAATATTTACTGTAAAGCTTCCTTTCCTTCTTCCCAGTATTTAGAGATATTGAGTAACATGATGACCAAGTTATTATCATTTTGTTTTTCAGGAGATGATTTTTCATTGATTCAACAAGAAATATTTATGGTTAAAGAATGTAAACATTGCAACATTGTTGCCTACTTTGGGAGCTATCTCAGGTAAAAACAACAGAAACAACTGCTTTCTCTTTGTATTCATTCCTTTTGTTACCACTCTTCCTCTTTTATGAAAGCGCTGTCATGCATGTAAATTTTAAAAATTATATTACCCACAGTCCTAAAATTTCTAGGGTTTTCTTAAGTCTCCCCTTTTATATTGGTAGTGACACCTCCATTTATACAGTCTCACCTTATCTGGCAACCTTAGTGAAACGTTATGAATGATTACAGGCAAGTGTTTTAACTTAGAAAACTTTGATCATATTCTGAACCATTTGTGATGAGAACAAAGCTGAAATTAATGTATATTTCTGTAATTTGAAGAGAGACTGCCAGGGCAATTTCCTGTTGCACCTAATCTGTCCTGAACTTTGTGCTGAAGAGTGAGTCTTCAGAGTATTTCAGTGATTGAGAATTACTGTAAGCTAATATAATTTTCTTTTTCTTACATATTAGTCGGGAGAAACTGTGGATTTGTATGGAATACTGTGGTGGTGGATCACTTCAGGATATTTACCATGGTACTGTAAACTTGACTTTACATTTTAAAACTCACTTTGACTTTAATAGACTGTTGTTTGACACACCTGGTTAACCAGGAGTATTAACCTGGACTCCCTAGATTTACTATTTTACATTCTGAGTACTCGTATTCTGAATAGTGCATAAAAGAAACCTAAGTCTTATTTTTTGTTGGTTATTACTGTTAATTAAATTTGCCTGGGCCTGAGCTGAGACAGCCAAGAGTACATGCATAATCCAGTTTTTTTTTTTTTTTAGATGCAGTCTTACATAGTCTCTAGGAAAGTGTTTTATCTACAAGTGAAACAGCCTGAACTTCCTTGTAAATGAATTTTGAAATGCAAAGGTAGCACACATAAAAGAAATTATATATGTCTATCTTAATAATAACTTGCTAACCAGGGAGACAATTCAGTTGACACTATAATGTTTTAATATTTAAAATTCAGACAGATTTTTTTAAATTTGGCGTGTTTTATTTAACCTTCTGTTAATTTAGACAGTTTTCTGAGTTGAATATGACTTTGTTTCAGTAATAGTTAGAAATAGTTTTAGTTTTGATTCTACAGTTTAATTTCTAATTTGCTGTTGAAAATTTCCAGAAGTTGAGACTACACATGAATTCTTATATGATAATTTTTCTTTTCCTTATTTAATATGGAAAGTATGGAATAGTAAAAACTCCCATTACAACTATGCATTGTGTATTGTATTATTAAGAAATATGAGCTATTTTTAAACATTTCTATGCTGAAATCTTTATATGAGAAGTCTTAAAATTTCAGTCATGCAATTTACAAATGTGGTCAAGTAGATGTAAAAACAGAAGTACTAGCCCAGTTTAAATAGTGTTTTGTAAGCTGTAGAGGTGAATTTTTTTAAAAATATCAATCAGTAGAGCAGTGGTTAAGTAAACTTCACTGCACCCATGATATGGAATACTATGCAGCATTTAAAAAGATGAAGTATTTCCGTGTATATTGACTTGTCTCTCCCCAAGGCCTGTTTTTAAATGAAAAAAGTAAATCATGAAAGAATATGTATATCATAGCTGACCACACTTAGATTTTAAAAAATTATATTGTATAAGTACACTCAAATTTATAAATCATACCTCTAGAGAATAAGGAATGAGTAAGGAAGATCCCAGAAGAATCAATGCCTTTGAATTATGATGCTGGCGAAGAATGTTAAATATACCATGGACTCACAGAAGAACGAACAAGTCTGACTTGGAAGAAGTACAGCCAGGATGCTCATTAGAAGCAAGGATGGCAAGACTTCATCTGACATACTTTAGACATGTTACCAGGAGGGACCAGTCCCTGGAGAAGTTCATCACGCTTGGTAGAGTAGAGGGTCATTGAAAAAGAGGAAGATGCCTATCTTAGTCATCTAGTGCTGCTGTAATAGAAATACCAGAAGTGGATAGCTTTAACAGAGAGAAATTTATTTCCTCACAGTAAAGTAGGCTAAAAGTCCAGATTCAGGGCTTCAGCTCCAGGGGAAGGCTTCTCTCTCTGTCAGCCTTCTCATCAATCTTCCCTTAGTCTGGGAGCATCTCAGCACAGGAACCTCAGGTCCAAAGGACGCGCTTTGCTCCCAGCACTGCTTTCTTGGTGGTATGAGGTTCCCGTGTCTCTCAGCTCGCTTCTCTCTTTTACGTGTCAAAAGAGATCGACTTAAGACACTACCTGATCTTGTAGACCTCATCAATATAAGTGCCACTAATCCATCTTATTACATCATAGTGATAGAGTTTACAACACATAGGGAAATCAGAGAAGGAGATAAAAGGTAGACATTCATACAATACTGGGAATCATGACCTAGCCAAGTTGACAGATATTTTTGGGGGACACAATTCAATCCATGACAACCCCCAACAAGATGGATTGACACAGTGGCTGCAACAATGGGCTCAAGCATAACAACAGTTGTGAGGATGGCGTAGGACGGGGCAGTGTTTTGTTCTGTTGTACATAGGTTCACTATGAGTTGGAACCAACTTGACGGCACCTAACAACAACAACAACAACTCTAGAGAAAGGGAAGAGGCATTTAGGAATAAAAGTTTTGAATTATTATAATAAAAATGTATTGATAAATACTATAGTTATCTACTTGTGTCACAAGAAATAACACATAACGAAGAAAGTCTTGATTGATGCCTAAGCTCCAGCTATTGCTGTTTGTTTAAAATAATATTTAACACCACATAAATATTACAAAGTACCAAAATATTAATACTTAGACTATCTCTTAAGTTGTTTTTTTTTTAAACAAGAACTAATTCCGTTTTAAAAACGAACAGTTTGATTCCTTTTCTTAGTAGTTTTTCATTTTCTTATGTATTATACTAGAATTTCCCAGTGAGGAAAATCTTATGTAATATAGAACTCCTTATTTAGCTTAGAATGAGTCTTCAAAATTGAGAATTTTTATCCCAGATTAAAAGAAAACTTTTATTATACCCTGTTGTTGATTTTAAAGTAGTATTTGTAGAAAACAGCTTTGCATCACTGAATTTGAACTTTCTTCTCCATGATTTTATGAAGAATGATGATATGATTATATGAAGAAGTTTTATTCAATAATTATAATTTTTATCTATTCACACTCTTACGCAATGAGAACTCTTAAAAATGTGGCAAAAATCAAACTATGTAGCTGGCAATTTTTACTACTTTCCCTTTTAAATTTAAAGAAGTGTTTTGAGATAACTAATTTTATTTTTTTTGAAACTTCTGTTTCCATTTTTAAAACATGGTATTTGTTGAATTAAATTGAATCTAAGAGGTATACATGTTTGTAAATAGTTATTCCAGATAACAAACAGAGTAATTGGGAACAGCTACACTGATAAATTAATTGCTGTTAATAAAGTGGCTTCCCTTTTATTTCATCATGTTACTAAGAATCAAAAATTTATGTTCCTGAGTAGGTAGAAAGAGCCAGTGATCAAAATTACTTCTCTCAGTAAAGATTACTTGTCCTGATTTGGTTTCACTGTCAGCAAATACCACCCCAGATTTCAAATATTCTCTCATGGTATTAGAAGACATATTTCCAAAGCTTCTGGCTGGTTACTTGCATAACAAGCATTTTATATTTAATAATAGGGAGAAATCTGGTTGCCAGAAGTGACCTGACTACTTCTAAAATTCTTAGATAAGGCACTGGATCAAGCTTCGCTGTTTTGACAGATACTGTAAAGAATTATACTAAAAGAAAATTTATCTAGATCTTAAAATAAGTAAATAAATGTGCGTATTTTATATATTGCTTTTCACTATATTTTAGCAGTAAATCTCTTTATGATTCTCCGTAGAACTATAATAAATGTTTATACAGTTTCTTTTGTTTTTGATAAATTGTTGAGAATTGAGATAATTTCTGTTGCTTTCTATAGAACTTTCTGTGATGCCTAGTAATATGCCTTGCAAATAATGGGTGCTTAATATTTTTACTTGCCAAAGTTGTTAGAGTAAATCTCTTACTTTTAAAGTGCATTTAAAATTCTCAGTGTTACTTGTTGTTGTTTCTTGATTACAAAAATAATACATGGTCATGGTCAGAAGTGAAGTCCAAATATATATCCAAAGATATATACAGAAATTTTAGAATAGTTTTTCATTTCTTTTTTTATTGTACTTCAGGTGAAGGCTTACAGAACAAATAGTTTCTCATGAAACAGTAGTACACATATTGTTTTATGACATTGGTTAAC